TCGCTGAGCAAGATACAGTACCTGCATCTGGCATGTAGTGCACAGCACATTGAGTGATCAAAAGACTATAAAGGGGCTATGTAAGTAGAGTCTATTTACCATTTACCATTTGTCTGAGCCAGACCAGTTGAGCCAGGACAATTGGACTACAAGGAGCAGTCTGTAGATGATCAGATCCAGAACAAATGACCAGAGCCACCCAATCCAACACAGTGACCTGGACAGTTTAGCTGCAGAACCTGACTCAGACTCACAGCTCATCTCAAATGTGCTTGTAATGTGTTTCAAATGTGCTGCGAGCCCAAACACGCAGTAACACTGAGCAGACATAGACAGTGAAACGGAGATACAGTTACAGTCAGACCCAGTTCATGAGACAGATACTCAAGACCCAAGGGGCATAGGGCCATTTACCAGTTACACAAGTGCACTCATCAACAGACACAGGACAGGTAGTGACGACTCATTGAATCTATGTTTCAAAAGCCTCTTGGCTTCAGAGATTTAGCAAGTTCAGTTAGCAGAAGGTCTCAGTCACTCCTTTACTGTTCTAAGGGGAGAACCAGTGGTGTGTGGTGGCCAGCGTCCTTTTCTATGCTGTGGTTTGCTGGGGAGGAAGCAGCAAGAAGAGAGATGCCGCTCGACTGGACAGACTGGTGAGGAGAGCTGGCTCAGTGGTGTCCACAGAGCGGGACTCTCTGATGACTTAGGCAGAGAGAAACTGCTGTCCATACTGTACAATGCTCACCACCCTCTGCACAACACATTCACCAGGCAGAAGAGTGTGTTCAGTGGCAGACTGCTGTCCCAATCCAGCTCCACCAACAGACTTAAAAACTCTTTCGTCCCCCTGGCTATCAGAATGTACAACAGCTCTTATTCAAGGCAGGGAGGACAATAGACAATGGACAATTTCCTCCTCCTTTTGAACTGTTTTCCTGGACATTCTTTCAGTCACTGTCATTTCTGACTCCATCTGCACTACCTCTGCTAAATGCTGTGACTTTCATTCATTGGTCGACAAATTGCGTCATTGCATCATCTAATAAAAGCTATTTATAAAAGCTATTTTATTTTACTTTTTGTATAGTTTTCTATTTTAATGTATGTTTAATGTATGTCTAATGTATATTTGCATGCTGCTACTGGATGCTTGAATTTCCCTCGGAATGAATAAAGTATCTATCTAAAAGGCGACTGTGGTGCAGAGGCAGAGCGGGTCGTCCCCTAACCGGAAGGCTGTTGGTTCGATCTCGGTTCCTCCCGCACACATGTTGAAGTATCCTTGAGCAAGATACTGAACCCTGAATTGCTCCCGATGCTGTTCACATCGGTGTGTGAATGTGTATGAATGCGTTAGTTTCTGTTGATGGGCTTTGCCATCACTGAGTGAATGTGTGTGAAAGGGTAAATGTGGCACGTAGTGTAAAAGCGCTTTGAGTGGTCGGAAGACTAGAAAGGCGCTATACAAATACAGGTCTATTTACCATCTATCTATCTATCTATCTATCTATCTATCTATCTATCTATCTATCTATCTATCTATCTATCTATCTATCTATCTATCTATCTATCTATCTATCTATCTATCTATCTATCTATCATCTTGAGTTTCTTGTGTTTCTTGTGTTTCTTGTGGATATGCTTAAATGTACAGGGAATTGTGACCAATGTACAGCATCATATGTAACGTGTGTTTGAAAGTGGTAGGACCTTGTATTGTGTAAAAGGCATCCTATAAATCTAGGAAGAATTAAGGCTTAATCACCCTTAGTAGGTGGCTTGTACAGCTAATAGTAAAGTTTAGAATTTTGCAGAGAGGCCTAGCCAAGTTTTAACATTTTGTGTCAGTTGTTCCTGTGTCCGTTTTCTGGTATATCGTGAGGTATGGATTTTGGTGAAATCTAGGACTGGTGTAACCCAGTTTGTTTATTTCACCAATAATACATCCCTGTTCATTTTTAAAATAATTTTTATTGTATATAACAATTTCTGTGTATATTATTTTTTTGGGGAGCTTATTTTGTAAAATGCATAAAATTTGCCGGGGATATTGCCTTTAAAGGATCTATTGTTACTATATGATCACTCTGCACTCTGAGCAGACTCGGCCTCTGGCTCCTGAACCTTTTCTGGACAACTATGCACTATCTTCCCCTCCAAAACAACTGTTGTTGCAAAAATTAAATCAATGAAATCAACTTTAAATTTCATTACTACATTAAGCTTTTTATAATAATTTATTTTGCGGTTGGCTGTGGCTCAGGTGGCAGAGTGGGTCGTGTAGTAATCGGAGGGTCGATTCCCGGCTCCCCCAATCAGGTTGATGTGTCCTTGGGCAAGATACTGAGCCCCAAATAGCTCCTGATGGCTGTGCCGTCATGTGTGTGTGTGTGTGTGTGTGTGTGTGTGTGTGTGTGTGTGTGTGTGTGTTTGTGTATGGGTGAATCACGTGTGCTTTGGATAGGCGCTGTATCGCTTCTGACAAGAAAGTTGGAACCGTGCCTGGCAGCTTCTGCCATAATTGTATGTATGTGTATGAATGGGTGAAGTGTTCATTCACGATTAGTAGACCAGAAAAGCATTGTATTTCCATTTACCTTTTGTTATAAAGACAACAGGATCCAGTTACTGAATGTTCATCACTCAGTACTTTTGTAGTTTCTAAGTGAATCTCTGTGGGTTGAAGTTTAGTTTCTCTCCTGTTTGTACTTTCAGATATCTGTTTTATTTTACTGTTTCATATTCCCTTTCAACTGTATAGGACTAAGGAGGAAGGTGGCAGTGTTTGTGCTTTGGAAAGTAACCACCATGAAATAATCAGAAAATAATGTTTTATTTATTTGATTCACTGCTTTTCTGTCACTAATGCCAGTACCACTCTTCATTCAATTTTGAGATTTCTCGACCATCAATACTCTCTCTACCTGTACAGACACACCTTTAACCAGGTAGCCCTGTTGTAATGGAGATGAAAATCCCTGCCACACTGTGCTGGTGCTAAAACCGAGTCAAGCCAAGTCACCACATGTGTATGGAAAAGGGCTGCTAGATAAACACAACATCTTTCTCCTGCACATATAAAATTCATTGTACGTCTCCTCTGAGTCTGATTGATCCACATGTTGAGCTGAACAAACCCCAGGAGAAAAGCCTTTCTTTATCCAGGTCAGCTATCCTGGCTGTAGCAGTATACCGTAACTGTGCAGTTTTGAGTGTTTTCAGCACTTCTGCAGCAATCAGTAAACTTTTCAAACCGAAAATTATAGTGAAAACTGAATATGTTTCATCTTTATGCCTTAAGAAATACATGAGCAGCCAATACTCTATGTTTTTTTGACCATGGCTTGAATGTAAGAAGGAGCAGTTTTCCTTCATTGTCCTGTAGACAGACCAAGACTGGTCATGGGGATCACCAGAAGAATTCCAGATTCCTGTCAATCCAGTGATACAAAATATAGTTGGTAAATCAAAGCAAAAACAACCAGGGAAGCAACAGTCACTGAGAACGGTAGACCATCAGCAGACAAAAATTCAAAAGATGACCAACAAAATGTGTATGTAAATAACTTTATATTGTTGTTGTTGTTGTTGTTGTTGTTGTTACCCTGTACTTATGGTATTCTATTCATTTCATTATTTTTTTCTCTGTGGGTAACATGAAGGAACTACAAACTTTCTTTGCATGATACATTCTTGTGTAGTATAATGATGAACAAATTTCCTTGATTCCATGATCAATTACTCAGAGCTACCAGAGCTTCATTGTGATCAACACAAGTCCAGTCAAAGTTCTGAGGAAATACCTGCTGCAAAAGCAAACCCCCAAATGACATATATATATTTAGCGCTGTAGCCTTAATTATGGAAGTGACCAACCTTTGAAACTGCTTTAGCAGCTTTGTATGAAGTAATACAACTATTTAGTTTACTGACAGAACTGTAAACAAAAAAAAAAAACATTTATTATTTATACAAAGCAGCAATGCGTGGCTGATGTTAGATTCCCGGCCTGACTTATTTATCCCAGTCCGGCCCTGCCTGTTAGGTTACAAATGATAAGACCAGCACCGTGGACCAGCTGCAGAGGTCTGGTGACAGACACAGAGCCTTCAGTAATAGTAAGAGATGCAGGAGATGACAAGCGCCTGAATGAACACCTGGTCTGCATGGGCAAATCCTCCCAATGATCTATCACAGAACCTGAAACTTTTGGCTGAAACCAAGACTGATCAAATAAATGAACAGCCATTTAGCTCCCTCAGATCTTTGGGAGGACATTTTTCCTTTGTTTGGGCCTTGTTGGTCATCAACCACAAAGTCAGGCTATTGTTGTGTGCCTGAATGCATTTCATTTTTATTCCAAAGGTCCAGTGTGTAACATTTAGGAAGATCTATTGGCAGACATGGAATATGATAGTTATAGGGACGTTATAAGTGTATAATCACCTAAGAATAAGAATAGTTGTGTTTTCACTACCTTAGAATGAGCCAATTACTAGACAGCCTCCTCTACTCCTCTACTTGAGCAAGATACTGAACCCTGAATTACTCCCGATGCTGTGCATCGGTGTGTGAATGTGTATGAATGTTAGTTTCTGTTTGATGGGCTTTGCCATCACTGAGTGAATGTGTGTGAAAGGGTGAATGTGGCACGTAGTGTAAAAACGCTTTGAGTGGTCGGAAGACTAGAAAGGCGCTATACAAATACAGGTCCATTTACCGTTTTCCTTATGCTGCCGGTCAGTGAGCTCCTTATAAACAAAATATGATACAAAGTTGTGTTGTGTAAATAATTCTCTGGATTTTATATACACACACATTATATTTTATATTTTATATTTTATACTTTCACTTACTAACTCACACACACGCACACACACACACACACACACACACACACACACACACACACACACACACACACACACACACACACACAGACACAGACACAATCCCTGTCAAAGCTGCAATCCCTGTCAAAGCTGCTATACCAGTTGAACAGATCACTCAGCAGCACACCACAACCCAGCAACTCGACACACCCATCTCTCTGTCTCTTTCAGTCTCTTTCTCATGTCACCACGAGCTGAATTAACATCTAAACTCCAGGACTGCACAAGAGAGAGACATAAGAAAAGGTGTGGGGAAGAAGAGCATTTCAACAGGTACTAACAACAAGCCACTGTTGATCGGATTGACTGTAATGATTAGAATTTTATTTGTTATTTACTGTGTGGTGTCTGCCAAACCTGTGTATGTTGTATGGACCTGTGCTTAGAGAATGAATAGAATATTTGGTAGCAAAATAAAATAAAAATGATTTTAGAAATAATACTGAAACCATATTTCATGATACAATTAGCCACTGTATCGTCAGGACCAAGTCCCATCTGCCTTACTGGAATATATTTTATTATTCTTTTTTTGTAATTTTACACTTTTGTGCTTTTGCACTACATTCTATGCTGCTGTGTCAAACTGGAATTTCTCCCACAGGGGATCAATAAAGGAATATCGTATCTTATCTTATCTTAGAAATAAAATGGTATTAAGTAAAAGTCTTTTACCCTTTTACTCTGTGCTCCAGTAACAGCTGAGCAAGTCTGTACTTAGACAAGGAAACTAAAAAAGAAGGTAGGGTCATTACATCATAACACCCACATTGCAATGCTGTCTGCTGCCTTGATGCCAGTTCTCTAGAAGACCATCTTGAGATATATGGAGAAGCATTTTAAAACCCAACATATCTATGTCATATGACCTTTGATGAAGCGATGCATCTACCAAATGAAAGAACACACATCAGAGAATACATTTCTCCAGATAGGTGCATTTGTTGTGCCTTGAAAATGTTAATATAGATAAACATCCTTGGATACTATTTGGAGAACAACAGCAAATTAATAAAAGCGCTCATTTGGAAAAATCTGTCAGCATCATCTGTGTTCCTGTGTGTTCTTTCATTTGGTAGAGGTATCTCTTCATCAAATGACATTAAATGTAGATATGTTGGGTTTTAGTATGCTACTCCAAGCTTCAATAAAACTGGCACCAAACAGCATTAGAATGTTGGTTTTATGAATGGCCCTTCCTTTTTTAAATTCCCTTGTACTTAGATATGCTATGTACTGGATTGTCTATGATGAAATGAAAAAGATAACCACATTTTGTAGGTGTATAGTCACATCTTAAGTTTGCTAATGTTAGCAATATGTTAGCTAACTAGCTAATTATCAATAGATGTAAATTAGCAAGCTAGTTGCTAAGAAGCATTTTGCTAACATTAGCTAACTTAAGATGTGACAATATATGTCACTTTTATCTTTTAACCATCTTTAAAATAGGGTTGTCTTTTAAACACACAGACGAGCCTAGCATATAGCATACGGTACAGGAAATACAGGAAAGGAGAAAGTTCACCGAAGTTCAGATCGAAGCTTGCTCAACTGTTGCTGGAGCACAGAGCAAAAAGTGAAATAAGGGTGGAACAGTTGTGTTCTTCCAAATTTCTAGGCCAGAAAGAACTACAGTTTGACCACTGGAACACACCAGAGAAGGAATGGAACTCTTGCTCTATTTGGTGTGCTTCTGTGATTGGCTAGTAGTGCAGTCTCACAATATTCTTCTTTTTTTTCAGAACAGTATGAGGGGTGAATTACATGATATGGTTATCCAACAGTTTCAAAACAATTCACACCTTTATTTGTGAGACTAACAACTCTCTGTCCTGTGACCTTAATGACCTGATCGAAGGTGTGTATCACTGACCTCAACATCAACATCTCCAGCAGTCATGTGAACAGATAAAACCTCCTGCCTGAATGGAGACTACTCAACGAGTCTATTGCCTTTAATTAATCAATTAATGCTTCACGTTCTGAGGCAAAATACTCTTAGACTTGGACAACGAAACCTGAAATATAGACAATTCCACTTTGAAGTCCATAGTATCGGTCAAGTTTGGAAAATGCTGCATCCCAATAACATTTTTCATGTGATTTTTAATTTTTCAAACTGCACATCCACTTGATGATGATCATTTTGATATCAAAAGCGGTATTTTCATTCCGGAGCCACAGCAGACATTATACAACTGTTTTCACGGGCTGAGCACTAACCATGACTTGTTAACTGACCTTTATGAGTAAAACCAGTTCACTTTAGAATGAAGTGAGCTGACACCATTCTAAAGTGAACTGACAATGTAAATACATTTTTGTGAATATCCTTAACAATCAGTCAATGTTTCTGATCTGTTTCCCACTTCGCATGTTTCTCTGCTGCTTCCCCAGTATGGGCTCAGGCCAGAGCAGTGAGAAGCTCCACTGTAACCGTTATCTCACTGGACAGGGTCCTCCATCACTAGTACAACAAGGTCCTTCATTCACACACAGATCTAATCTCTGTCAAGCTTTCCATAACTATCTGCTACTCACTTCTGATCATTTGACTAAAACTGGCCCAATATCTATGCAGCTAATGAAGGGCTGAATGGGATGCACAAAGCAGTGAATGGCTGCCAGCCAGAAGGCCAGATGACCTGGGTGCTCCTCCACAGAGACCTGCCAGGATTCCCTGATGACAACACCCTGCAGATCAACTACATATTCCCAGATGGAATACAGACAGTAAGCTTGACCAAAACTACACACTGCATTTACATTTGAATGAAAGGAAGTGAGAGAGCTTGGAGTAGAGCACAGGTCTGGCAGCATTCTTTCCATGTCAGAAGCTGATGATCTGGTTGGTCTGGTTAGCAGAGCTACAGGAACTGAAAACTGTAGTAAAGCAGCACAGATTTTACACAGTGTGTTTCTTGCAGGAGGGGATTTTATTGGGATAACTGCAAGTTTTGAAACCACTATTTTTAATGATATTGTCTCACAACTATCACATAACTGTTTTTATTGTTGCTGTTGTTTGGGAGCATAATAGACCAGTTTTGCACATTGCCTAAATCTAGTGAAGGTCATGCACGGACATTTTGAGGGGCTTTTGCTGTAACCCCCAATGAATAGTACCATCCGTGTCCTACACATGTTTTAGAACAATGCACAGCTTATCAAGTTACAATGCAAATATTGCCTTTATCATGAAAGATAAAGATTTTTGCATGTCACCAGCTGCCGATATGTTAACCAGCTGGCTAGCAAGCTAAGATTGTTTCATGTGATAGCATAATGCAAAAAATTTTGCAAATCTTGTCAAAAAATAATACAAGTTTCGATGACATGACGATTTAATTTGGTCGGCTAAAGAGGGTAACTTTAGCCCGGCCATGTGCATGTCCTTGTCTAGTTGTGAAATTTATATGCTTCTGACAAAAGTTGACATGAAATGTAAAGCCCAATGATGCAAAACAACAACAACCAAAAAACAACAAAAAAAACTGCAAGCTTAAATTATATTAATGTACAGTAATATGCATTTGTATTTTTATTGGTGCCAGGTGTTACATTTTTATAGACAAGATGAGGTGATACTGATATCTGAAAAATATTTAATGCCAATGTTTTTAAATTGTACTCCCTACAATATCCCCGAAAACTTGGATTGAAGGTTTTATGGTTATATGTAGACAACTCAAAGCATTTAGTTATACTGTAGTTAAGAAGGTTAGAGAAAAATTGTGTTAGTAGACAGGATGTTAACCCTGTGCTTTGCATGCCTTGTCCTTATCCCTGTGACTGTAGCAAAACTATGCCAAACCTATGAACAAGCACTTATCAGCAAGAACATTCATTGTGAGTAAACATAATTAGTAAACAATGTTGTGTACTGTGTTACTATCTTCCCGCAGGAGAAACATCCTCACCCTGGCCAGCCTTATGCAGGCCTGCGACTTTGTGCTTACCTGCCTGACAACCATGAAGGCAGAAAAGTTCTCAAGCTGCTGGACAAGGCCTTTAACCAGCAACTCCTGTTTACTGTTGCCACCAATAGACATGGAGAGGACATGGTCACTATTGCTTCTATCCCCCTGAAAACACATCCAGATGGAGGGAACAGAATGTGAGTAAATAGGTCAACCACGGTCTTCCTCGGTTGGCCACTGGGAACTGCTCAATATTGTATGAATAGAATTTAAAATAAATTCTACAATTTAAAGGACACTTTTTTGAATGACTGATAATATGATATTATCATGTTTCCTTTTCTAAATGGGATGGTCCCTCAAAAAGTCTGGAATTAAAACATTGAAATTGTATTTATTAGAACTAAAAGCAAACCATTATTATTGGCTGTATGATTAGATAGATGACATTTGCATTTAAAACAAAATGTATTCTCACAGCAAAATGCCATGTAAAACCCAATTTGGATTAATTGTGCTTTACTAAAGATTTTTGAGAGGGGAGAAAATAAACACAGATGAACCTCCTCAAGCAAACATATCAGTCGAAACCAAAATAAAGTGAAGTTGCTCTTTGGTCCTCTGTTATTGTAATGGGACAGCCTTGTACCTTTCTAACTAATTCTAATTGAATTGAATTGAATTGACTCTGGTATGTTGGCCACTATTTTGTAATGATAATATTATAATAAAATAATGTTTATTTTAGCTTAATGTTGTTTTTCTACTAATTGTAATACTAAAGGCTTGGTAAAGGGTGGCATGAAAGCAAATGTTAGCAGTAAATGTAACAATGTGTATGTGTGATTTGTGTTTCAGTGATGGCTACCCAGACTCTGATTACCTGAAGACTGTGAGAAAGCTACTGAGGGATAAAGGCATTGAATAACAAACGACACACGCACACACACACTGAAGGCAGATACTTAAAATTTACATTTTATCTATGAAAGACCAGAGATTCTGTGCCATAATATGTCTTTTACAAAACATTATCTGATGTTTGTTGTCTATATGAAATCTTGGTTATAATCTGTGTATTATTGCATTAATGCAGTTCTTACGTATCAAGTATATTTATTATAACATGTATTAACTACAGCTTTTGGTGTCTTATGTGCAATAACTTGTCTTTGCGTGAAGCGATTATTTTATTGATTTTTAAAACTTAGAATGTATATATAATACATATGAGCCGTATCCCTGTAGGAATTAGGTAAATATTTCATTTATTTTTGAGCAATACAGGGAACAATCTAAACACATTAGTTTATCCACAATCCATTTGTTGCACAAGATTTAATTTAGGAGGCACTTCCCACAGTAACCCAGGCCCCTTTGTCACCCCCCCCCCCCATCTTCCTGTCCATCTCTCCAGCTATGACTGTCTAATAAAGCATACAATTCCAAAAGTTTAATGTCTTATTACTAGTGTTCCTTTAAGTCATAGCAATCTTGTAATGTCTTTTCGTTTGTTTCCATAGAATACATTAAGAAAATGGTAAACTGTGTGGGTTTAAAAAAATATGTTTGCAGAATGTCTTTTCAGAATGTCTATTGAAACACTGGAGCCAAGTATCATTGTTTAATTAAAGATACAGGACTATTAATCATGCTGAACAATCAGCATTGCTACCTAATGACAGCTTGTTTCTATATCTTAAAGCCAGAGTTACAAAGTGCTCACAGGTAAAACAACACACAAAACAATACAATACTTTTTACTGTTAAGGACCCCCTTGAAAACAAGATGGCACATCTCAAGGTGATATTCATATTAATACATTTCGAAATCCAACAAGAATTTTAGGAAGTAGCTAAAAATAGAGAAATAAAACAATATATATATATAAATCCCAACATAAACCAATTGGAGAATAAACTATAAAAGATTAGTAAAAGCAGGATCTCCTTTGGTCTCAAACCTGGGCTTTGGAACCACATCTGGTTTTCAGATCTGAACACAATACAAGGAGTTAAAATATGAAATATACAGTGGAACCAGACCATGTAGGTACTATATTCAAATAATTAATAGAATTTTAAACAGAATTCTGGAACAAATAGGGAACCAGTGTAATTCAGCCGAAACTGGAGAGATACTGAATGTTCTCTACATTAAGTGTTTGTCACAGCATTCTAGACCAACTGTAGAAGGGCAACTGCTGCATCGTTCTGACAAGGAAATAATGAATTGCAGTAGGCAAGAGGAAATGAAGATGTAAATAAGTTCATGTAAATAGCAAGACTCTTGATGTGCTGATTTAAGTTGAGATATTCCTTAAAAAACACATTTCGGACTCTGTGTTTTAAAGGTCCAGTGTGTACCATTTAGGTGGCTCTATTGGAAGAAATATAATATAATATTTATAGGTATGTTTTCATTAGTGTATAATCAACTGAAAGTTAGAAGACTTTCGCTTGCTTCCTGTGGCTCCTCACACACATGGATGGGATGATAGATAAAATGTATTTTGGGCTATTGTATGTGATGATCCCAGAAGTTGCAAAACCCCATGCAGCCACTAGCTAAAATCACTTCACAGCTCAGCCCCATTCCATGGGGGAGGGCTTCCTTTGAATAAAGGTAGGGGTTACCATATCCTCCCACCTACAACTACCTGTTATCATGTCACTGAAGTTCCGTACTTAGGTCACGTGATGACAACTGAACGATCTCATGACAGCTGAGCTAACTCCATTCACTGATGCTATGTGGGCTCAGGAAAACCTCCAGTAAGTAGAACTTGTGCTAAGAAGTGTCAAAATGAAATCATTTATTGTGACATATCATGGACAATGCTCTTGTAATATTGCTTATTGTAGAAGTGGTAAATGGACCTGTACTTGTATAGTGCCTTTCTAGTCTTCTGACCACTCAAAGCACTTTTACACTACATGCCACATTCACACACATTCACTCAGCAAGGGCAGATTCATAGCAATTTGGGGTCTGATACTTCAACAACACAGCAGCAGGAGCCTGGGATTGAACCAACAACCTTCGGATTACAGGACGACCCACTCTTCCTCTGCACCACATTATTGTAGTCATGTAATTAGCTGTATACTATGTAATTTTGAGAAAGAGATCATATTGCTTATATATATAGCTTACTTTACTCTGTGATTCCCCAACTGTGCAGTTGCTGTTTTCCACGCTATTCAATCAAGTCTTTGTTAATCTGAACACTGGTCTTCCCCGCAGACACCACTGCGTTGCGGTTAAGACACAATAGGGAATAGGAGAGGTTCAACTGCACAACTGTTCCAGTAGGAGGTTGTGGGAAGTGCTCTGCAGTTTATTGGTCTTATTTTTCTCTTCTACCTTTATGCCCTACCTAAAGCCTTGCCGCTCTCTTATTGGTCCATATTGCCAAGTGTGAACTTTCCCAGTTTAATGCCGGTCTGATGTTCTCTTCAAACTGAATTACAGCCAGGTCCTTGCACTCACAATAAAGTATAATCTCATTTGGGAGGCCTCTGTCATCCAGGAGCCTCTTAAACCACTTTCTCCTGGACAAACACACACACACACACACACACACACACACACACACACACACACACACAACACACACACTCATCTGTCCACCACTGGCAGGTCACACAGCCTGTTAAATTTGTCTTCACTGCAACACACACAGCCACAAACACACACATGAAGGATGCACAAGGCTGTAGTATTATTTGTAGCTCCAGGGGTAGCTGTATACCCAGTCCTAGTCTATTCAACTGAGGGAAGAGGAGGCGCACCATTTTTTATTTGCCACAAGTATAATATGTTGCTTGACATATTTCCTCTCAGTCAGCTTTGAAAAGATTTAAACCTAAATGGGCAAGTTGTAAAGTTCACCCAAAGAAACACTACATAGATATTTTATCTGTTGTCCTCTGTCATCACTGTCCTTTTGTTAGTGGTGATAAATGGTCGACAGCAGTGTTTCATTAAGCTCTTTAATTTGGACAATTAAAGTCCATCCTTTTTGGAAGACAAAGCAGATTGTGTGCCTGGTAGTTACAAGACCTGGGGATGGTGGATGCCTAAAATGGATGTGATCTAGATATCCATCGTTTGCTGCCAAAGAAAGCCAATATACAATGTATTTATCAACCTTGATAGATAATATAATAGATAATATAACCAGTATACATATAATACATAAATATCTTTGTAAAAAGATTTGAGGAGAGAAATAAGCAATGCAGTAACAGAATCTCGATTCATATTTGATCAGCACTGCCAAGTTTGACAGTTCAATCAGATTTTTGTGTTGCGCTAAACTGACTCACTGAGAATGACTTTTCAATCAAAAGGTAGCCACACCCTAAAGTATACCCTGCTTTATCATTGATTTAACTCTTAATGGGACCATCATTTCCAAAATGCTATATGAAAAAAGACTTGAAACTAGAGATTGAATTTATTAGGAAAGTGTTTACAGTGCCAATAAACCAAGTCAGAAGTAGAGACTTATTTCTGTCAGACTTCATTTTTACAGCCAATTGAGTTGCCCCCTGCTGGCCATTAGAAAGAATTCAGGTTTAAGACATTTTTGCGTCTTCTCTAGTGACTTTGGGGTTTCAGATGCTGACCATGTAATCATAATGTCACTGCAAGTCATCCCTCCTCTCTCTTCCCTAAGCCGTCTTACTGTACTTAAGTAGTTATTTCAGTTATCTGTACTTGAGTATTTGTTTTTTCATACAACCTTTTACTTTTAAATGCATTTGAAATTGATTTTTTTTCCAACATTGTACGACTTCCCAACACAAACATGACAGGCATAACATAAAAAAGCATAATACGGTAACAAGATGAAACAGACAAGACACTTAGTTAGTTTTGCATAGAAACAGCCGGTAGAAATGTCCTTCAGTGAAACCAAGAGAGTACTTTTTACTAAGTACATTTCAGAGCCTGTACTATTTCACTTTCACTTTAAGTACTTGTATTTTAACAGTCTTTTTACACAGGTTTCTGTACTTCTTCTTGAAAAAAAGAGAATGTTTGTACCTTTGCCACCTCTGCATAAATATTATGAAAAAAAAAATTTATATAATAAAATATAATAAAAAATAACAACAAAACTAAATTGGTGAAAGGCAAAGGTATTCCAAAGGCTGTAAGACCTTCAGAGGGGTGCTCTTTCAAAAAGACACCATAAAACTCTCATTTCATTCATCCTCTCACTTTATCCCTCAATAAGCAGCCCTTTCCAGCCCTGCCCTCTCACTCATCACAATGCTATCAGAGCCCAGGCCACAGCCAGCCAGACACTCAACTTCCCCTGTGGTCTCACTTTATCCCTTCACAAAGAGTTGACAAAGGCCTAGGTAGACATATTGAATAGTGAGGTTAGTCCCAGCCATGTTAAGCAGAATTGTGTGTTTTTGTATGTCTTTGCAAAGCAGACTTCTGCACTCTACCAGATCTGCTGTTATGCGATAGGATCTTCACCCATCTTTCTTTTTCTGCTCAAGCATTCTCATCGCTGAAGATGGAGAAGTGTGATAGCATATACGTATAAGAATGTCCTAATGTCTGCCCTCTCTGTCGTCTTCCTCTGCATTCAGAGAGCAGCAATGGGGTTTTAAACTGACTCCCTGTGGACACAACCATTCATTCCGAGTGAAGGAGATGAATTTTGTCTATGTGGATTTTGGGAAGGAGACGGAGGCTTTTGATTGACAAAAATCCTGGATCTGAATGTAGTTAAGAGTAAGTGAATGTCATACATTTGTTGCTAAAGAATCCATAGGCTAATTGATTTCCTATTCTGTACTGAAAATTAGGGAAATTGTGTCTTTTGCTCATTTTTCCTATAGTCAGTCAAACATGAAAAATCCTAGATAATAGTAGACAAGATGCAAAGTAGGAAGAAGATGATGCTCATACATCGACCTTACACAACATTGCTTAGTATGTGCACCTTAGGCCACAGAAATGGATGCAGAGGCCACAGAGCAAAAGCTGACAATCTATAAGGTTCTTACAACACACTGAAAGGCACCAATCGTTATGTCTAATATTGTTGCAATGGAAATTTCCCTCAGATGCCTTTACTGCTATGTATGAGCAGTTTTTTCCCACTGTCAAGAAGGTGAACGGGGTGCACACTGCTACAAACACAGGCTTCTGGTGTTTTAGTGTGCACTCTGGAAGCACCTGAAAAGTGAGATCCAAGGATTCTTCTGCTCCATTTGCCTGTAGACTACCTATTGTACTGCCATCAATGGTTGTAAATTGCTTATTACTATTTATAATTTAGTCAAATAGTGATGGTCAAGAAATAAAAACCTGTGACCATAGGAAGAGAATTACTATGTAATAATAATAATACATTTTATTTGTAAAGCACTTTTCATAAAAGAATCTCAAAGTGCTACAGAAACCAAGAAAAAAACAAAATAACAA